TGTACAAATATGTATAAAAACCTCCAATGCCCTGAATGTGTATTGTGTTGTCTCCCTTCTCTAAAGAAAAAACAATTTTTAATAAATATCCCGATAACTCATATTTTTTTAAAACATCAACAGAATAAGTGAAAAGATTGGTACAAAATTAATATTCAAAGTTTTGTCCAAATTTATATTGGGTATTCTTCTAAGAGGCCTAAACGTGCATTCATTTTCTGCCCTCGGAACGTATTTTCTTTAATATCACGCTAACGGATCAATGGACCTTTAGAAACATGGCACAATTATTGAACCTTTAGACCTTGATGTATCGTCATATTACGTGTTTATCCTTCACCCTGTAATATATTGTGATTCCTTTATTGTTCTCATCAGACCGGCCATAGTGGGAAATGTTGCTCTGTATCCCTCCATCCTCGTTTCCTCTCCCCATGGCAGAATCAGCATGCACCGCGTATTTTGATCTTCTTCAAATAACCATTGACTCTGCAGCTTTCAATTTGAGAATCATGTCAATTCTAGGCAATTTACGCTTACGCTTGTACTAATGGATTTTTTTTATGCTCTTCTAAGCCATGATGACGGAGATACCTCCTCAGTAGTTTTTCTTTGTTTTTCAGTTCAGAATATTCGACCACATTGTGTATAAGCTGTGCGTTGTGATTGATTCTTGGCTATCAGGATTTGATAGCTATGTTGGTCTATACTTTATTCAGATTGTACTGAAAATATATTTCAATCTAACCTTGAAATATTGTTGTCGTTTCATTTATTTTGAACGAAATACTCCAGGTTCATTCTTACATTCTGGAGATTTACTTCGTTCGTAGGTGGAATTTTTCCAATTAGGTTTATAAATTTGTGTTACTTAAACGGGTGAATTGTCGCAATTTATTTGAAGTATGTTATTAATTATTACTGTAATACAGTTGGCTCTAGGATTTCATGTGGGTAATTGTTGGGGTAATGCTGATGGATTTATTCAAAACATCGCCTAAAATGTATGTCATGAAATGTATGGCTGAAATAAAAATAATGCTGATGAATACAAGAACGAATCAATACACGGTACCCTGAATATTCTCCAAGTCGACGAACTCTTGACAGTAGTTCAGAACGGTTTATCTTCGGTCCGTATACTCTCGCTGTACATCATCCGTTGTACTCAAGAAATAAAGCGCTGACAGTCGAACAAAAGATAATTACGGCCAAATTAACGTACGGCTATTATCGATGATTTCAGTTTATATTCGGGTCAGTCGTTTAATAAACTTATCTCGCTTTCCTCTTTTCCCCACCTTTGTTCGAAACGCATCTTATTTAGGGCCCAGGTCGAGGACAGGCGGTCTAGACGTCATCAATTTGGCTTTTTCTGTTAACGGATCAATACATATTTGACCTTTAACATTAAAACTTGGAAATTTTAGATAAGTTAAGCTAATATTGTTAAAAGTATAATAATAATGGCAAAAGTTCAACAAAACATGGGCCGAAACTAAAATTTTATTTTTAAAGGGTAGATTTATTTTTTAATTATTCGTCGCAACCTTTTTTTCCTGTCGGTCCTGGTCTGTCTGTATACAAGTGACGCTATTTAAATCCAAAGACGAGCTATTGTAAACAGTAGTAAGCCAAGGTATTTTGCCAGATGGACTGCCTAACATAGCCCCACTCGAGGACGGAAATAGACGAAAGTTGTGCTCAGTCGTGGTTTGATGTAGAAATGTGCCCCTTGCACTAAGCAGCAACAACTTGACCGTCATGTCGTACCCGAGAGAGCAGACTGTAAGGTTTACGATTTTTTTCGAAAACGAAGTTGTCGTACTTTACTTGTCCATATGAGCGAATAACACGTAGGATATACAAATTGCGCAGCGACGCCATGCCCACCTTGGGTGAAAAAGTTTTATCCATCAAACATGTACAACAAAATGTGTGCAGAAATATTTTGTTATATTATATTAAATGATTTATATTAGAATTTGTAAAATATCAATGATTTGATCTGAATATAAATAAAGATAATCTATTATATTTGTCTCACTTTATCCCAATAACCTGGTTTTGTAACAAAAATTGTGCGTACAGCGTGTATCATTTGTTTATTTATCCTAAGGATTAAATGTGTGGTGATTAGTGACCGTTAGTCTATGATTATTTAGAGATCGTGAGATGCGGTCTGGTGTGACGTGGTTTCAGAAAAACATTTTATTTATCGGACTACGTTTCGATCTTTATTGAGATCATCTTCAGGGCTCAAAGTGTTTGTATTCTGCGAAATTATGCCATTCTTGCGTGTCGTGTGCTCTCTCAACACGACCCGCTAGAATGGCACAATTACGCAGAAAACAAACACTGCTTAGAGTGTGAATATGATCTCAATAAAGATCGAAACGTTGGCACGATAAAGAAAATGTTTTTCTGAATCGTACGTCACACCAGACCGCATCTCGCGATTTCCGAATAATCATAGACTAACGGTCACTAATCACCACACATTTCTACACGAGAAGAACGAAGAACTTGGGATAAAAAAGGGCACTCTCAACACGCAAGAATGGCACAATTACGCAGAAAACAAATACTGAGCCCTGAAGATGATCTCAATAAAGATAGAAACGTGTAACGATAAAGAAAATATTTTTCTGACCTGCATCACACCAGACCGTATCTCACGATTTCCGAATAACTAAGGATTAAATAAAAAATTCCATTTTGACTGGACTTTACTGTTTGATGGAACACACATCATATTCAACACAAAAATCCCAAATTCTCAAAACTACTAGCAATGTGTTGATTCATCATCACAAGACTCTTTGTTATTTAGTCTTTAGTTTAGATAATTCTGTAAAATCATTTTTTCTGGATGTATTTAATTTATTCAATTTTGTTTATGGACATGTTTATTGATTGCACATACTACCTATCAAACCGAAAATCAATAGTTTAAAAACAGTTGCATTATTTCGATTTTGGGACTACTTGCCAATTTGAGTGAACTCACAACTTATCATATCCAAACCAATTGTAACATCATTTAGTGATTTGTCATAGGAGGAGACTCTTTGTTCTATGAATTTTCCTCAGTATTTATATACAAGTTTACTAAAAAAATTATTGAATTAATAGATTTTTAATCAAAGCGCTTTCAGTGTTTATATGACTATCGCCTAAGGTTGTACAAATCCATATTAATCTATATTTGTTTTTTTAATTGACTTTTTATACAATAGTAGTTTAATATGCCATGAGTAAAATTGTCAATATGTACATATTTAAAAACAATTCTGGTATTTTAAAAAATTGAATAAACAATCTGGCACTTCAGTACGAAGGATCACCTTTGTAGGCTAAGTCTCTGCCCAATAGGTCACAAAGTCACTGCCACTCTAACTTTCTAATTGTCTTCAGTAAGGCATTCCATTTGCTGTAGAACTCCATAATTATTAGGACAATGAAATAAGCCTTTAATTAAAGCAAGACATTATTTTATTCCAGAAAAATTGCTGGGGCTAAAGGCTTATTTCATTGTCATAACAATGAAAACCTCCTGGGATGATCATTGGTAATAGTCTTAGTTCCAACAATATAATTATTTATTCCAGCAATATTGCTGGAACTAAACGCTTATTTCATTGACCCAACAATTAACTTGGGTCAGTCAGGTAGTATGAAAGGATTTGTTTTAGTATACCAGAATTTTGACATCTTTCACAAAGGCAATATTAAGGTCAATATTGATTGTACGATTGAATACCTAGAAGGAAGTGTTTTTTTTTTGGAGGATTTTGGATTCGGAACATTGACTGCAATGACAGTTGGAATGTTTCGTTTAACTGTATAGTTCAAAGCTGTATGTTCAAATTGGTCTTCATATCGTCTTGTATATACATAGTTTTGAAGAGTCAGTGTTGATCGTTTGTCAAAATTTTGTGAGTTGTTTTGTAATATCTACTAATTATTAGTAATAGTCAATTTTATTGGCCACTTTTTCAGCTAAGGTTGTAGGTTGATAAGACGAGTCTAGAGGGAGTGACGTGAGGATGCAGTCTTGGCAGGTAGAAGAGCAGTACTATCTTGCTAAATGTGAATGAATGGGTTGGGATTTGTAGGTAGGTCAGCCTGCCACCCTTTTGGACGCCACCTTAACAGGATAGTAGTTAGATATGGATGTTCCATGGCTGATCCGAAAGAAGAGGTCAGTCAGGTATGATTGGAAAATCAGGAAGTAGGTAAAGGAAACTTGAGTTTCCACAGCAAACCCGGATGCCAGACCATATCAAAGACTTAGGCCACATCAAGGAAAGCACCTGAGCAGTACTGTTTCACCTCAAGAGAGATTGTTGTTCTAAAACTCAGTGGCATCATTGGATGGTGGAGTGGTGCTGGGGGATAATGTTTGATTCTTCTAGGATGGGAAGGATTCTTTTCAGAAGCTTATCAGGTGATAGCATTGTAGTAGGTGTTTAGATTTATGGGACTTTAATCTTTGTAATGGAAAATTTGTATTGGGGAAAGAGAGTAGTCCTTAGGATGGCATGTAAGTTTAGAAGGAGTTGATTTATTTAGGTGTGATAAAATCAGTTCAAAATTGTATTTACTTGTCCAACAAACACAAACTCCTCAGAATTATTTCACCATTAAAAAAATTATGCAGTTCGATCGTATTTGATCAGCTGATCTACCTACCTACCTATTCTCGCTGGTTTCGTTTGTTAGATTTTTTTACAGAATTTCCCCATCTTTTTCATTATTGATCAGGTAGACCAAGATGGCCTATAAACACTATTTCATAGTTAAAAAATAAATAAAAATAATTTTAAGCTCGTTTCTTATAATCATGAATACAATTATAAATTACTTACTATAAAACACAAGTTATTTACAATCAAATTTTTATGTGATTTATAGTATTTCAAAACATTTGTACTGATGTTAAATCATTCAAACACCCGTATAAAATATGTCTCACTAATTTATTTTACTTTTTGCAGACTTGCTTTTGGAACACTATACCCTGCATATGCATCGTACAAAGCTGTTAGGACAAAAGATGTAAAAGAATATGTGAGTATTGTATACAGTCATGCATACTTTTAATTAAAATATGAAAATATTCGTGAACACTTTGAATGTCACTGCGGTCTTAAGCAATTTCAGTTAAATTAGAATGGCATTGAGGGCCAGTTAGTGATGTTAAACTTGTCAATGCCCTTCTATTCTATTTTCTTGCTTTAAGACGAAAAACAACACCTTGAATTTTTGTGATTGGAAATGTTTTGATTTCAGGTAAAATGGATGATGTATTGGATAGTGTTTGCACTTTTCACATGCGCTGAAACATTCACAGATGTTCTGTTTAGTTTCTGGTGGGTATTTATGATAGATTTTTCATAAAACGTAGGATAATTGAAATTTACCCTTGTTCCATGCCCAGGTTTCCTTTCTATTACGAGATAAAAGTCGCAATTGTGTTTTGGCTCCTTTCACCTGCGACAAAAGGGTCCAGCTTCTTATACAGAAATTTCGTCCACCCTGCTTTTCAAAAAAGAGAATCGGTAATATTGGTGATAAATTAAAAATTGGATGTCAAGTACAACTGTTTTTATTGATTGTAGGAAATCGATGAAATGTTACACAAAGCAAAGGAAAGGGGATACAACACAGTTCTGAACATAGGGAGTAAGGGCGTGTCATACGCTACAAACGTCATACTCCAAACAGCCATAAAGGTACGAATATTTTGTATAAAATTGTAAAACTGGTCACTGCATGTGTTAAACATTTAATAAATAACCAACATCACGCTAAATTTTGGTGTTTGCTGTAGTGAATGAATCAAAATGTTTCATAATAGAGCATCCATTTTTTCTTAATTTAATTATAATTTTACTTGATTATTGAAATCAATTTGAGTTGTTATACTCTCGAAAATTCTCACAACCTTACAAATATATTGTCATAGAATTCAAAATATTGTTAATAATCAATTAAAAAACTATCTATTCATGAAACAAGCAAAATGGAGCTTTTTTTGGTTAATTTTATGAATTTTTCAATTTAAATAAAATGCCTGGTCTTACTTAATTAGTAAAAGTTTATAATAGTTTTTGCTACCATGAGTAATTAATTTTGAAACGTGTTGATCCAGCAACACCATATATTGGTGTAATTCTTTAGAAGCATTCTATATTGATTTTTTTTTTTTTTTTTTTTTACTGTGGGAACCTCAGTATGACCAAATGCCTATAAGGGCAATTTAAAAACTGATTATTTTTATTTCAATGTTTTATGCTAGCAGAGGAGTAGGGGCAACTAAAGGTATGTCATTGATCATTATACCATGGTTGAGTTACTTTTCTATGAGTAAAGAGGAATGTACTAAAACTAGTCAAAATTAAAAATTAAAAAGAGTTTCAATTTTCTTCTGACCCTGAAAACGCAAGAAAATATTAGCTATTAAATAGAGTAAATAAAAACATTTCTTAGTTTTAATTACTATGGAGTCAGTGGTTGTATTATACTCTGCAGATATCGCCAAATTCACTCGATTTGGGAAGGGTGGCAACACGTGCTAGAGCCGATGACGAGGACACTTTTGCTCTGCCGGATGAATTGTCAGAAGAAGTACAACCCAAATTACAAAAACGATCAAGGGCGGCCTCAAAAAAATAAACTCAAGAAAACAGTTAGAACAAATCATTTATTTTTCAAAATGGCTTGCATAAAAGAGATTTGAGTCATTTTTTTTTAACTTTCTGTTACTATACTTGTCCATTACACTAAATACAATCATAAAATTTATAAATTTTTGTATTATATTTCTTAGAGTATATTTTCAGATGAGTGGTTATTGTATAAGATTAAATTTACCTCCATTAACTTTTAAAAATACTCATTTTTAGAAAATTTGGGTTCCCTCTATTTTTACGTCAAGTTATTTTAGGTTGTTAGTAGTTTAAATGTTGATTGCACAGAACAGTAACGGAGTATTGGACAACTTGATTCAACGGACCGGTGAGCAGGGCCAACCTCAGAACTATGGCGACGGAATTTTAGAAGAGGAAAGTTCATCAGAGACAGAGGAAATCTCCCGCCCTACTCCTCGTGCTAGTAAAAGAAAAGCGAATCAGAACATTATGTAAAACGATCTGTTAAAAAAAAAAAAAAAAAGCTTAAAGTAAACTGACAACTATAACAATCACTATTTGGCATGTTTGTGTTTTATCTTTTGCATTAATTGTTTGCTGTTATAAGTTAAAAGACTGACTATGTGATATTGTACTTCGTGATATAAAATAAATTAATTTTTTTGTGTGCAATTTGTTCTTTACCTTTGCATGTGCATGGCCCTCTTACAATTAGGCTTTTTATTATTTATTTGTTCAAATTTTACTTAACTAGTAACAACTTCATAAAAACTCACTGTAATTGCAATAATAACAATTAAGCCATATTGGTATTATTATTATTTTTTAAAATTCAAAATTATAACTTGATACTTAGAATAGCACACTGTTGTGTCTTGGTGGTCAATTAAAAAAAAAAATCCTGACTTGAAAAATTATACAAGGGACAAAGGAAAACTGAAAAAATTCTCAAAGCAAAATAAAAGTTAGGATTTTTGGCAACAATACATTTAATAACTTATTCTGTTTATAAAAATGATTTAACTTTTCTTGATCTTTTAGCACCAAGTTTAAAGGTTAAAGTAATGCTAACAATTATTTGATGCTTTGCCTTGCTTCTTTATATGCAAGTTTGATATGAAGTACTTAAAAAACTTGCAAGATTTTGGATATGGTTTATTGAACAGATGAAATTGCATTGCTATTAGTGTTTTCTATAAAACATTAAAACTGTTTTTTTTTTCCTTCCTCACATTAAAACTATGCAACATTTCAATGCGATACCCCAAGATTTTTAAGAATATCAATTCCACCTCTTTACAGGGAGGGGGTGGGATAATGGAACAATTAAGAAAGAGCTACAGTTTAACCGACCTCTCCCCCCAGATATCCAAGGACAATACTGATGGATCTGAAGGTAAGTTGTACTTGTCTTCAACTTCACGGAAAAATTCTGTAAATAAATTAAAAAAAGAAGAAAAGTAATACGTAAAATTATGCTGCTTTATTTTGCTAAACTAGTTCAGGTTCTAATTAAGCTTTCAGAAAAAAACAACGATACACATAATCAATTTCACTATGATTATCTCTATTGTCACTTTATTATTTACAGTTATTTATTACAATCAAACAAATAATAATTACAATAGTGAGCTTTCCTGCTGAGGCCCGCGTGGTGATAAACCTATTATTTGATAGTTACCGATCATCTTGGTACGCCTCATGATGACTGACAAACATCAGAGAGGTTAGGCAGGCTAAGATGATAGGAAGCTATCATACTAAAAATAATTACAACATTTATTTAGGCATAGGGTATTTTGGTTACCTAAGGAACAAAAAATCCATTGTTTAAAAAGCTCATTATATTAGAGACACAATGCTTAAAATTGCCAACTGAAACTTTTAGATAGAATGAGACCACCGACTCAGAGAAGAGCAAGACAAATGGAGTCAATGGTTGAAATGAACTTTCCCGAAGTAGAGACGAACCTAAGGGGCGTCAACCATCATAACAATATGATTGGGTAAGCTTTTGTTAACACCCAACTCGGCAGACTACTAAAACAAATTTTTTTCTAGCGATATTAGGTCTACCGAAGATATCAGCTCGGGTTTTTCAAGTACGGATCAGCTCAATACAGAAGGAGTGTTGACAAGATCGTCATCTGTTGCATCAACAAGAACGAGACCAAGAGGTCGAGGAGCTGCGGCAAGAAGAGCCCCTGTATCTGAAGTAAGTTAATTTTTTATAATTAATTATATATTACCTAACTGTGCTAGGCCAAATACAGTTTTAACTTACAATTAGTATTACAATTATTATAAAGAATGTATATTATACAAATACACAGACATAATATCGGATATCCTTACACATATAGAAAATTAGTATGTTTTTTGAGAAAGCAAATTTCTACAATGCACCACGTGTGAGTGAGTGTGTGTGCGCGCGCGTGCGCTTATTAATTATATGAAGATACGTAAATATCAAATTATCTTTGAAACTTTCATAACTTTTATTTTTCTCGTGAATCAGTTTCTTTACTGAATTAATTTTAGATTAGTAAAACGAGAATGTAAGGTACAATTAGGTTGACATTTCATACAACCAACACTAATCGTAATTAGTATAATAAAATATGGTTTTTATTTATTTACTGTGAATTAAACATTGGTAAGAATTCAGCATTCCACTTTAAATAAATAAGCAAAGAGAAGATTGACCACAGTGAATACTGTCAAATTTAATATTATTTGCCCATTTGATATACTTGTATTTGTGCTTATTGTTATTTAATGTTAATGTATGTAGAAAAAAAAACTGTAATGTATTTTTTGTTGGTTATTAATCTACTAGCTTTTAAAAGTCCATAGTTTTCAATAATTCAATTTTATCCCACTTATTGCTTACTCACTCTGAAAAGGAATTAGTTAAGGTGTTTTAATTTGTTAGTTTTGTTTGAGATCTTGTGAATATTTTTAAAGGTTTTTCTAATTTAAATGGAAGAGAAATAGCGCACTTTCCTCATTTATTTTTTTTTTTTATTACCGAAAAGAAAACCCTTAGCTCAGAATGCTAGGAAAATTTGTGATGTGTATTTGATGACATTTTGGAAGAAAGTCACTATCTGTAAGTGGTTTGCTTGGTTCAGAAGCGGAAATTTTTATTTTGAAGATGCAAAGCGTTCTGATTGTACTTGAACTGTTGACGATGACAAATTTAAGCTTTTGTCTAAAGGCGGCTCCAGTGAATGCGGTATTTGCTGAAAGCCAAGCAAATGTTCGCCGAATTCCAATTATCTGGGACAGGCTCTTGGTTATTCGCCAAGCAACAATATTCGATACTCACCTTTCTCGGCTAATTTTGATTTCCTTGTCGAAGTGCACAAATACTCGTAAAGTGACCGAACTCAAAGCGTCTACATTTTCGGAAACTATACTGTACATATATCAACTATAATCATCAATCGACAGTAATTATTTTTCAATAAAAAAGATTCCTAACTAGTATAGATGTATTAATGAAAGAACTACATAGCATTGTTGCTATTGGTTAGTAATGGATAGGACCAATATAACAGTCTTGGAGTCCCTCAATCTGTACCAAGCTGAATCAATAATTTCTAACGCTTCTCTTCTGAACCCCAAAAATAAGAACGAGGTTTTCAATGCATGGCAACGGATCGAAAATTAAGATGGGGCAATAGTATTTTGGGGCTGATTTGCAGCCACTACGCAAAACAGTAACCACAGCTGCAGCAGTGACAGTTGACCATTGTTCTTCATGGCGATTGATAATAAGTTGAAAACTTGCACGGCACTTGGCAAATACGTATTCGCTGTTTCCACACAAACTGGGTGTAAACGTAGGATCACTATTGGCAAAGATGAGCATCTTGACACTTGGCAAATATTAGCTGTAATCAGCATTTGGTGAATGCAGCAGATCTGGAGCCATCCTAAATTAAAACTGACACAAGATATCACACAGACACTTAACATATCTCACGTCCAGTGGAAGAAGCATTTCAACCCATCTGTGAGCAGCTGGGATAGGGATAGGTATAAGGGTTCCTCTCAGGACTGTATCTTCACCTTTAATTTCCTTCTAAAGTGTAATGGAAACAACCCATTTTTTAAAATATTGATGACTGGGGATAAAAAGTGGGTCATTTACATCAATGTTCAGAGAGGAAAATCTTGAGAAAAACGTAGCAACCTACCATTAACAACTCCAAAAGTCTGCATAACATACATCCCAAGATGGTAATGTTGTGCATTTGATGAAATTGGAAGTGGATGCTTTTTTTAAATTATTTTCTTACATTGGACCAAACAGTTCATTCTAGCGTTTACTGCAATGCAGCGTGCAAACTGCAATTGAAGAATGATTTAGTCAGCAATTGACCAAAACGACTGGTATTGGACAAGGGTTTTTCATCAAGATAACAATGTCTTTGCAATTGCACCAGAAATTGTTAGAGCATGACCTGATTGCCTAACACCCTTTAAATTTGTACTTATTTCGGGCTTTAAAAAAGTCTATTTCAGGGAAAAACAGTACTTCACTTGTGAACTGCATAAAATACATAGAGGAATTCATTGCTCAAAAACTTGTATAGTTCTGAAAGGACAGAATTAGAAAATTACATGATTTACATTTTTACTTTACAAGTTGGCAACATATAGTTGAACAAAATCTGATAGCCAAAACCAGACTAGGATGATCTGAGGTGATTGAGCTATATTTTCATCACTTTGTACCAATTTAAACATTACATATCAATTGAATCTAACATTCAAGTAATTGCAATGTTTCTGTGTTTATTTTTTCATCATTTCTTTTAACTCAAAATTATTGAAAGCATGATTTTTTTAAAATATAAATATTACGTTTTCTCTTTGCTGATCATAGTTAATCATAATGTCAGTTGAAATTTGTCATGGTGCTGTAGATATTTGGGAAAGTTAGATTAAAATATTTAAGGAAATATTACAAATATATAAATATTATATATAGCTCTGACGGTGGTGGAATGCTGAATCCATGGTAGATAAAACCAGCATGAATAGGCAGACCATAATGATCGTAGATGATCACTCTACATATAAATATTAAATAAGGCCAACCATTTTGTGAATAGAGATAAATATAGCAAAATACTGATTTTCGCTTCCCTTTCTTATCTTGAAAAAATGAATCATGAATATGACATAACATTCAATTAATTAAGGTTTTAAGTTGAGATAAAAAAGTCAGTGTCACGAGCGGGATTCGAACCCACGACCTTTGGCTTGATACGCCGCTACTGTACCGTTTGAGCTATCGAGACTTCGATCCCCTCAGGCCTTCTGACTTTTTTATCTCAACTTAAAACCTTAATTAATTGAATGTTATTAATTATCAAGCGGACCACAAAAAATAGTGAATTTAAAGAATTGAAATGAAGTACACTTCACTAAAGCTCTCTGTGGCCATTTCATTTGTCGCCGAGAATCCAATCCCATTACACGACATTTGAAAAATGGCAAAAAGGAGGGAAAATTCAAAAGGCGGGGTTAAGATGGGAAGTTAGTGCCCGAGGGGATCAAAGTTACGATAGCTCAAATGGTAGAGTAGCGGCGTATCAAGCCGAAGGTCGTGGGTTCAAATCCCGCTCGTGACACTGACTTTTTTATCTCAACTTAAAACCTTAATTAATTGAATGTTATTAATTGGTCAAGCGGACCTCAACAAATAGTGAATATGACATAACGTAATATTTACTCTTATCGCTTATTCTTCTTGAATTTTTCAGCATTTCTTCATAGTTGTTAAGCCTGTGCACTTTTTCCTAGAATTTGTCGAATAGTTTTTTAGCACATTATTAACATTGTTTCTAGATATGTATAGAGATTTATTTTGGGATAGGAGGACAAAAACAAGTGAAAACGTGTATACTTAATAGGTTTGTTCCATCACACAATCCCAAACCAGTTGAGAACTAATTTGTGATTTTTGACTGCTTACGCCTGAACGTTGACTGATCACAGACTCTTAACTCTGATGGAACCTTTTTTCCAATTTCGGACTTTGACAGTATTGATGGGAAACAACGAAGCGTTTAAAATTGGAAACAGACTTTTGTTGATGTTGATATATATGTGTGCATCGTGTCTATTATTTAGTATTGAATGTAGATTCCTGGCAATGAGCAGCGAAATATGTTCCGCTGGCCTACCTAGGTATTAAATTGTGTGCTCAAAATTGTAACATTTTAAAAATTATTTGTAGCCCTATTAACGAATTGTATATCGATAAAGCAGGATGAAGATTCACCATCTTATTAATTTTAAACTATTAAAAATTATATCTTCAGTACTAGAAATATCGACATTTTTTCACTCCCGAACACTGGATCAAGGCATGTCTTGGGGGCCGCGGTAGCCTCTCGGCTAGTAGATCCCGCGGTCATGGGTTCAATCCCCACCGTCACCTCTGGACTTTTTCTAACGCCTAAGGGGACCGGTGGCCGCAATCGAAAGAAATCACGGCACTCATCAATGGAAGGAGCGGGATCATATCTCAGCGACCCTGAATTTGGTACCAACCCCCTTCAAAAATGAGTTTCTTCGATGTTCTCAAATTCACACTTATGTTGCGAGCCCCCAAAAAATGGAGCCTGGGGTAAAGAACAATAAGCTGTACAGCTGCAGTGCTCAGGAGGGAACTCCTCCAGTTCCTGGTATCCATTGTAAAAAAAAAAGAAAATAGATAGGCATCAGTTGTTACTGCCATGCTTTCGAAGTATTTTAAGGTTTTGAGTCATCAGGACAAACAATCTTTAATATGTCTACAGATTGACATATTTATGTTTTTTTTTATAGGCGATTGCAAATTTCCTTGAAGACCAACTCAGTCCCAACATTGCCGAATGACAACTTAGACGGTTAAGGATGGTACCTAGTCTAAAGTTAAACTAAGTCGAAAACTTGGCAGTAACAACTGAATTTGCTTTCTTCTTCAAGACCACACCTTGATCCAGAATGTTCGTAAAAAATTATATTGGCTGTACCTCTAAATTTGTTCCCTAGTTGAATAAGAGACCGAAAGCACTGCGAATATCTGTGCATGTCCCTGACTGCTAGTCCATGGTAAAATCCAGTCACAAACCAGGTTTGAGAACGTGATGGAACATCTGACTGACAGTTTTCTGATGGTTTGGAGGCATGATGGAACAGACCTAATAACTCAGACCACACAAACACATACATTATGTTTTGTAATTTATATTAAAGATAGATTGAACAACTGAAAACATAGATAGATAACAAAAGTTATGAATATATTTATTTTTCAGTAAATTGTGGATATAATAAATACTTTATACTCTGCTATTATGCTCCAACATTATCTTAAATAGTATAAGGGAGTTTTTCTCTTATGTTTTTTGTATTCTCATAGTTGTCTTTGATTTAAAGGATGCTGAAGAATCCGATACTGAACTTTGGACAGATTGCTCTGCCGGTAACACAGGTGCTTCCCAGGTACCCACTCCTCAATCCATTCCTTCCGGGGCAAATCTTGAATTTATAGTGTCTCAAACGTCAGCCACTGTGAGCAGATATGCAAGTGAGCCTTATGTCGCGCCACCAGTAGAAATTCAGGGGGTCGAAGTAGAAAAGTTAGTAGAAACGGATGTAACTTCGGGTTCGGATAAAAACAAAATCGTTACAGACGGTACGAATAAAATCACTACTAATAAAGAAGCTCCGGTTGATTCTGTAGAAATAAAAGATAGCACTAACGTTGTCAAAGATGACAGTTCATTCTGTGAAAAATTAGAATCACCTGTCGACCAGCTCGAACCGGAAATTCTTGACATTAGTAAGTCCACCTCTCAGTGTTCAGTAAACAGTGATGGTTCAGATGCTGAGAGGAAGGGAAAATATAAAAAACTTCCCGCTCCTAAACCTCCTTCAAAAGAGCCTTCGAAGGAAGAGTTAACAATCAAACCAGAAGTAGATGCCAAAATTTCCGGGGTTAATGAAACGAATGCCGACCTCAAAGAGACAAACAGCAACACAAACCTTCTGAGGGAAGAGATGCGATGCTTGAAATTTATTGACTTCGATTGAATGTGTTGCCTAATTGAAGTAAAGGAGCCAATCAATGTGTAAATAAAAACTTTCAAAACCATCAGAACTTTACTTTCTTTTAATTTGGTAGTGTGCAAAAGTAGGAAATTTAGTCTTCCTGCCTTTCCCCATTCCCTAGGGCCTTTGGAAAGTTATTGTGATTGAGACAATGAGCTGCAAAGAAAACCAAAAGTGAGGCATTTAGTTATTTTCTGTTTTCCTCTGTTTAACAAGGCTTTCGGCTGAGTTTTTAATTGCCTGGTTTTCACCATAATTAATCTTTTTGTGAGCTTTCTAAGGCTGAATCATAGTAACATGGACAAGAAAAAAAAAAGCATATTTAAATAAAGCCCACCAAATTACACTATTCTGGATTAGAAACATAGACTTATGATAGTTAAAATTAAACAAATTAGAAACCACTACCATAAAGTTCACGCATGCTTTTTTAACTAATCCTCTTTCAAGTCAAGCAAAATTAAAAAAAAAAAAAAATCAATTCTCAAATAATTGGCCAACGGTCACAACTCTAATGTTATTTTATCAATTGTAAATAATTTAAACAACTGAAAATATGAAGTAAAACATAAGTATTGGTTTTTGTAAAGCTGGTAACATTTAAAGAAAGAAGAATTTTTGTTCTTTTGTGTATATTTTAACATTTAAGATAGAGTCGTGATAAATTTATATTTTGTGTTCTGAGAATTTTTATTTTCAGTAAACTATTGGCCGTCCAAGCAAACAAGACTCTAATACCGATCAGGTAAAGATTGTTGTTTAGAAATTAGCATTAAGTGTATGAGTCTTGTTAGAACTAACAGAAAATTTATCGAATCGCAACGCAATTAACATCAAAACGCTTTTAACCAGCCCGGCAATTTAACAGACTAACAAAGCTCTACATAAAAACATTTGAAGGATTTTTAAATATTTTTTTGTTATAGAAAAGAAAAGGGTGAAAATATTTTTGATACTCTTTTACACTAATTTATATATATTTTCTATTTACGATATCAATCAAACATCAAAAAAAGCTTTGTATTTTTTCAAATAAACCTATTATAATTGTATGGAAATAAATATAGGTGGTTTAAGGTTTAATAGATGCAGATGGTAGACAGCATAAAATATCAACAAATATGTTTTTCTCCTTGTTGTTTTATTTTTTCATACTGATTAGGTATATATAGTTTTCCCTCGGCACAGTAATACACTAGATGCCTGACGTTTGATTTTACAACCATTGGCTTTGCTGTTTTCGTGTTGTTATAGTTTCGACATCATCATAAAATATTAAAATTTATAATCTGTGAAAAGTTGGAGGAGTTCCTTCCACAAAATCCTTAGATGTAAAAGTTGTCAAAATGTCTTCTTAGTCGTTTGTAATGTTTAATGTTATTACCAATCCGGTGAATAGTTAGGGATTTTTTTAATTGTGGTGATCTATACTCCATTTGGCAAATGATTGATTTTAAAGCATGTAAAAATAACGTTTTGATTTGAATTCTAATTTTTTGTTTATTTTTGGTGTTTCTACAGCTAAAAAACACACGACCGACAAAAAATTTTTGCAACTGATATTGGTGGGAATTTAATTTAATTTATGCTTTTCATAACTATTCGCCGTTTTTGTTTTGTTTTTCCAGGTGGATTCAAGTTCATCAACCCTGCCTAGGACCAGCAAGCGGACGACAAGAAAGCGGACTCAGTAGATATTAATTTTCAACTTGCAACTCGTTTTTCCCTTTGTTTTAATTTGTTGAGTGATACTATTTATTTATGTACGCGCAGAAGAGTTTTTCCTTTTTTTTTTGGTTTGTCTTCTTTGATTATGTTGTTTTAAAATTTTGTTTAGTGACTTGTCCTAAGGTTCCTAAAATATGTTTGGAAAGAAAAGCAAATAAATTGATTAAAAGCTATTGCTCAATATAAACGTGTGTTATATTTGCAGCAGTTGGGCGAATAATTATATGCCAATAGGTGATAGTATTGTGATTAAAATTAAATAAAACTCTCATATCAAAGAGAAATTTTTCTAATAATTAAATTTTCTTAGGTATAAATTTGAATATCTTGTTGTAAAATCAGTTTTCTAGTTTTTAATAATGTTGATCCTTCGATATTTTATGAGACAATAAGACGTCATTTGTTTGCAAATTTTATAGTGCCTCAGTACCTTGTCTGGTAGGATTTTGCCCGTTGGTTTTTGAAATACATTTTATGAGGCTGAACCTCTCGCCAAGTCAGACTGGGTACATTACAGTTTTTTTTATTACGGATGCTTCATTAATGAAATAAAATGATACTAATATTAAGAAAAGGCTTACAAATTGAAATGAAATGTTAACGGTTTAGGCAGGCCTGCCAGTCCTATTAGTCTGCCATTGTTATCAAAAATTTCACTAGTCATGCTAGTTAAAAGTTACCTGCAGCTTGTCTAAGCCATTTCTTATTCGGCGATTTCTCCTCTGAAAGACATTGTAACGTTTAATGCGTTAAGTGGTGCTATTTTTCATTTAGGAAATCTATTATAGAAAAATATGTAGAAGCAATAACAAATTTTTATAACTAAAGGCACTAATTTTATCTCTAGTGATATTTGGTATTGTAACATTTGCTTTAAGGATGGAGATAAATTATCAGGCCTTTCCATGTTAGTTATAAGTTCTTTTTTTCTTTTCAATTGTTAATTATATATTCAGAGGGTAAACACTCTGGAATTGTATCGAAGACTCATTTTCTGTACTTTTTCAAGTTTGTTTTGTATCTTTTGTTCATAATTGTGTGCACCTTTTTGTTTGGTTTGTATTGAGTATTTTTACTGGCAAATAATTTTTAAAAAAAGTAAGCTTTGCGTTTTATTTTATAGAACCTCCATTATCACCAGCAACGACAGATTTTGACCACCTTGCTCAGATATTTTGCAGTATTTAAGTATGTATTTTAGTCCAATCTTGTAAAGACAGATTGATGTGATTTCTTCAAAACTTAACCAAGCTGTTCAGCGCCTAGTCAGAAAATCTGGACCAGTGGCAGGCATTCTCACACATAACACAGCTTCCTTATAGAGTGCAGACTGCATTATCATTTCTACCTTGTTGAAACAACAGCTTCATCTCAACAGTGGTAGAATGTTGATTATGGAGTACATTCAAAACAACAAAACGATCTTGTCTCTGAGACACGATGGAGACCTGAACCATGCCTTCTTGAGTAACCTTCATTATCTTGGTAGTGATGGAAGACCCTTCGGACAGTTGTTCTGGGAATGTTAAGCACCCTGGACACATATGCTTGACTTCTTCGATCTTCAAACAATGCTATGATTCTGCCCAAAAATGATTTAAATCATTAAAAACCATCACTCAAACAAATTGAAACTAGATCGCAAAGGGAAAATGCCGCGGCATGGCGAACAATGACCCATTGCCAGGTGGTAGATCACTGCCAAAAGTGCATCGTCCTACCCACAATAATATAAACTAATCTAAATTAGGGTTGACTTGCATAACTTTCCACCACTGACCATAAATCCACAAACTGCTTAAGAGGGGCTATGTTGATGCTATATTTCGCCATTAGCCCTTTATCTGTCACACTAATAAAAAAAAAAAAAATAAAAAATAAAAAAATCCAGAAATTCACTACTGCGCTCGAGAACCATTCATAAATCCATCAACATATTCCTTCTATGTGGCTCAGAAAAGAATACATTTTTTATTACATTTTTAGTGTACATATATCTTCTATTCAAGTGAATACACCTGCTGCATACAGTTTAGTAATCAATGTTGTATAATAGCTTATACACACACACGCGTGCGCGTGTGTGTGTGTATAAAACTTTTGTAAATTGAATTTTCTTTATTCAGTAATTCATTCAGAACCCTTTCAGCTTGTAAATTTTTAAAAAGTTAGATAAATTATTTAAATAAAATTTAAACTTTTTGTTGGAATGATAATTTATTAACTTGGATTACATGAAGGCAGTTCAGAATTATCTATATTTTTCACATTTTTAAGTTCATGAAGTACATCTCTTTCCATTTTTAAAACTTGAGGAGGTTTTTTATACTAAAAAGAAATCACAAATTAAAATTAAAGTTGTTATAACAATGTTTGTAATACCAATGTTTGTACTCACAGTGATAATTAAAGTATTGAATTTATGCGTAAAACTTATGTTCTTCTGCTCTGGAAGAATGCCGCATCGTTCCAATTCCTGCACTTCAATTTTTTTATAATACTTTTTATTCGTCGTTCGGACTATGAGGCACTTCTGTTCAGGTGCAGCAGTAACACTGTAGACTTCTAACGGATAAGGCAAGTTACGAATCCTCCACTCGATATTATCTCTTGTTATTCTTTTCAGCATGTAAGGCTGAAAATGGCACGATTAAACAACCGTTTTGTACGACATGGTAATACCTACTCACTGAGTTCTGCGCTTCCTGTATTCCAGAATTGTCCAATAGGAGTGATTTGGGCTCCGGGTCTCCAACTTCGGTCACCCAGGAAGGCTTCTTTGTTATATTGTTACTCTGCTTCCATGCCCGCCTTACCAGCACATTTGTCTCTAGATTATACTCTTCAGCCATTTCTGTCCCATCTTGGAATTTATAATGTACTTTTCTGTTCCCTAAAATCAGACCAAAAAAAGACCCATCATATTTGTAAATTTTAAAATTGAAACGCCAGAAATTAAATGTACTTGGGGGTGAAATGCACTGAGTACTATAGAAAAATTGAATTATTTTGTTTCCAATATTAGAAATCATTTATGAACTGATCGTTTGTTGAAAGTAGAAAAGAGCTTCCAAAATGTTCAATGCACTTCCCAAAACGCCATATAAAATGGACAAAACCCACTGTTACAAAACATGACAAAGCCAACAGTAAGCGATTCACAGATGCACATGTGTCATGAAGCCTGCCTCTGCTTTGCTATGTCATCTGTTAAGTTCTGATAAAGCAGTCCACACACATTTTATAAGTTTTCTAGGCAGTACTTGTTTAATGATTTGAGTATGTTTCACATCACTCCACAAATATACCAACCTCACAATATCACCAGCAAAATATAGAAGCATAAGTGTATCGTCCCTTTCATTATTGTTAAGATTATGTATAGAGAGAAAAGCAAAGGACTTGGGCTTTCACCCTCGAGAACTCCTCAACATATTTTTAAATAATAGATGATGGAGTTTGGTCTGCGAGTTGGCGAACTCATGTTGAACCGGCACACGGGCGTTACTGGGTCTGTCTTCACTCGCGGGTTTTTTGTTTGAGTTTTTCACTGAAGATGGCGTAATGCCAAAATGCATTTGAATAACTCAAACAAAAAACCCGCGAGTGAAGACACCCAGTAGTGCCTGTGTGCCGGTTCAACATATTTTTAAATGTTATGATGAACTTTGTTTAGATATTTTTTTCACATGCCAATCATTAATTTTAAAGATTTGCCAAGAGGTGTCAGTGGCCAAAATGGTCTAGGTGTTGACCTGGCACTTGTCACTGTAAGGTTAAAGGTCCTGCATTTGAACCCCTGACAAACGTATATATATTATTATTTTTCTTTTTAAACACCGGCACCCCAAAGGTACATATTACCTCGTAGTTGAAATACTCTCATTAAAAGAAAAAAAAAAGCCAGATGCCTATCATTTTTTCCTAAAGGTGAGCTGGAAGAACAATGAGAAAAGCTCCACAGAAATTCACAAAGATTCTAGGTATGGTAACCAAATATTACAATAAAATTCTAATTACAATATACTAAATGAATAAAAAAAGAGGAAATTTTTAATTGAAGATGATTCAATTTCCTGCGATACAGAATGGCTTAATGCCCAACTACCCAGTGGGTATCACGGACAGGGAGCAAAACAATTTTACGTTTTTCATATTTTCAATTAAAAAGAAATGCTATGCTGGGATTCGAACCCAGGACCGCTAGTGTGCCAAATATGAATCGATACCTAACCACTAGGCCACTGCGGTCCCCAAGAGCCAATGGTATTTGTAGGAAGATTTTCTACTATGCTGTTTGAGAAGAATGCTAATCCAATTAATTTCTGTGAGCACTCTTTTTGAAGTTTTTGGCTGTGGCAATGAGTTTTTGAGGATGTGTGTTGTGAGAAAGTTGAGGCGAAGGGTCATATTTATTTTCATTCATATTTTTACAAGAGTAGTATTTAAAAAAAAATTCATGTTGCCTAACCCGAAGGGTGAAACCGGATATGGCACCCATGTAAAGTCGAAGAAGTTAGTAGAACTTCCATAGCTTCAGTATGAGGACTCCAGGTATCATCTGTATCAGGTAGGTACCTATTTTGTAAATATAACCGAATCTCTCAGACCCAGATTGAAAACACACTATATTTTACAAGTGATCTCAGACCCGTAATGAATGAATGAATGAAAAACTGTTATATTTACAATATAAACCAAAATACAATAGATTGAAGAAAAACATAACAGTAAATAGACATGGATTGAAAAATCCATCTGCCATAGGTCACTTTGTTAATAAATAATAATGAAAACTATATGAATTTTAAAAAAAGAGAAAAGAGAAAAAATATACATTATTTAAGTAATAAAATGAAAAATTAAATTCTTCTGTCAGCTCGTATCCCTATCTCCAAGCCAAAAAGCCAATGCGGCTCAACCAAAGAGTAACTTTTTTTTTTTTTTTTACAGTGGACCTTTACCTTTAAAATTGTCAGACCCACGATGGAATAAACTTTTTTTTTTTTGAGGTCTATTTTAATTTTCTAAATTTTCAATGTGAAAATCTATACTCTTTATATTAGCAGAGACAATGGACCTTCAAGAGCACCAGCAAGACTTTTAGTCCTTGTTTAGAGGGAATCCAGATTTTTCCGAACAAATTTTAAAGTTGCTGAATGAACTCAGTGAGGAAGAAGCTGATTTTGACGATATTTCTGATGAAGAGACCAAACTGTCTATAGCCACCTGCCTTTGCTTTAGCGACATTTGTGGTTATGGGAAAGCTGTAAAAAACTAAAAGATATTATTTATTACAACTATATGGTATAATTTTAGTGGTCAAAGGCTGGCACAATGACAGTGCTAAATTAAGCATATGTACATGATAAACAGAAAAATTATTTTCATTTTAACAAAAGTATTTTTCTGGAATATTTTAACCTTGAATTCTTCAGACCATCTAAATACCTCAGAAAAATAAACATAAAATTAAATTACACACAAAACTGAAAAATAGTGGTTAGAAAGAAAACAAAAAACAAACAGGTAATGGGTCTGTCAGATGCAGATGCAAGGGACAAACCAATAAGTACCTGGACTTTTTGATGAGTCTTATATTGTGGCTTTTTTAAAACAGGCAGACTGTAGTGGCTGGGACACATGCACTGAATGGATGAAACTAGATGTCCCAAACTCACACGAATGGACACCCTGGAAGGAACAGACCACACGGTAGACAACTTGGTTGGTTGACTGACTTGAAAAATAATTTGGAGGTTTTATGGCAGTGGGCAGACACAGTGAGGGAAACCTGTGGTGGCTGAGGCTCAGACCCTTCATGGGCTGTGAAAAAGTAATTCTTGTAGACTTTGCAGAGTTTGAGTCTCCTTGATATATGTTTTTGGCCATCATTATGGCCAGGAGTTTGACCGATATGCCATCTATTCCATAGTTTTTGCTGCATATTCTCCGGCCAATGCTTAATAATGTCTTTGACTTATGCAGTTTCATAACAGCTATACAGCCAATTTTATGTTTATTACACTGATGAAAAAATTTAATGCACCATACAATTTGTTTTAGTATAAAATTAAATTCATCATTATCTTTCAGGCAATTAGGAGCTATTGTAGTCAACATAAACAGTAAATAATGCTTTGTTTATTTCTTTTATTTACTTTATTAATCCCATTTCCACAAAAAGTAGCACTATGCCCTTCCATTCTGCTACACTTAAAGATTGCTTTTATTTAATTTCAGTTGATATTACTCTTATTCTTAAACCTTTTTCAATAGTACCAGCCAGGCATTTGAGTGAGTATGACAATGTCAGGGTCATAACATGATTGGAGGAAGGAAACGGCTAGCACGAAGTTGCTAGGAGATTGAGCAAAATCATTCTACAATAGGAAGGATTCTTCGGTGCTTAAGAAACAGGGCCTCACACTAGAAGGGTCGACCTAGATCTACAGATGAGAGAGACGATAGATTCAACTATCATATGCTATATGAACCAAGCATTACAGAGTAGATAAGAAATTTGATAATACAAGTCCAAAATGTTTCAATTTCCTCTAGGACTGTAAGAAGAAGGCTCAATGAAAATAACCTCAGGGCTCGGCACCTGGCTTTTGGATCTCTTCCTACCTCAGGTCAGAACATGGCCAGGCTTCAATGTGAACTGATCATTAGAAGATTGAGGACGAGTTCTTTTGGCAGAGGTGACAGTTTGCCTCGAAGTCTTCAGATGGCTGCAATTTCATATGGAGATGCTCAGGAGAAAAGTATGACCCCACACTGAAGAATTCCTCACGGGACAATCCATGGTGGGTCTGGCTGTTCTGGGGTGGCATTTCCTTGGATGCTCACACCAAATTGGTTGTTGTGTGAGGAAGACCAGAAGTTCACAGAGTACTTACAAGACATAATCAATGAATATGTAGTGCCATTTGCCCCCTCCCCCCACATCGGTGAAATATTTTTGCTAATGCAGTATAATGCCAGGCCCATTGTGGATGACTACCTGAATGAAGTAGGAATAGAGTGCTAGGTGTGGCCAGCTCGAAGTCCAGATTTGAACACAATCGAACATATTTGGGACCAACTTAAGCGACGATATGCCGCCGAAACGCAGGTCCTAACACCCTTGAAGAGTTGAAAACGGCTGTTTCTTGATGAATGGAAAAGAATTCCCCAGGATTTCGCCAGAAAATTTTTCCAACGAATGCAAAGGCGCTTAGACATGATATTCACGTGGAAAGTGGAAATATTCCCTATTAAAGGGAACGTAAATCGACTCAAAGAGTTGGAAATCATGTTTATTTGTGAAACAGATAACAGAGAAAAGGAATTTTTTTAACTCACCATTTTCCGTGATTGCAGTTTTATCAGCGGCCCGAATGGCATTAAGCCAGTTCATTTTCTCAAATTATTCTTTTACAAAGAAAACAGAGATCGTATCTATAACGACGATTACACAGTTAACAGTACAAGAACCTCATCGATTCTTATCAGTTATCACCGGAACACGGGAATCGATTACTGTTCGACGCCGCGCCGTCTTGTTTTTCCTCAATAGTCACGACTTCCAAAGTTCCATTTCCATTAGTCAGTTCCAGTGGGACGGTTTGTTAAATTTTAAAAGTGAAAGTTCGTCTTCTTCAAATCCGTTCTTCCGTCAAAATGGTAAAACTGCCTGAAAGGTAAGACGGCTATTTTAATAGAATAAGTATTTTTTTCAACAGGGTCTGGTTCGTTTCTCGTAAATTTTATAAGTTAAAGAATGGGTCTCTGTATTAGCACGTGCTTAAGATGTCAAGAAGTTTGACGTTGATGAACTTGGAGTTTATGAAAAAAGTGATGATTTTTGTCGGTTTAAAGTTAAAATAAGTCCCATTAACATAAAAAAACAAAGATAAATGTTCTATAGTCGGATTTTATTCTGTAGAAGTTCTAACACGATTCCCGCCACTTTTTTTCGGTCGTTAATTTATAGCAAATATACGTATATTAGGGCATTCAGTTAAACATAATTCAACCTGGACTAATGTGCCCCCAGAATATGAAATTTGAATTAAATGAATAATTGCAAAAGAAAGTAGTCTCGTGGACATCAGCCAGGAATTAAAAGGGCAGCAAAGTCTGCTGGAAAGTGGAACTGAACAGCGTGGAAAAAAGGATAATCAGACTTGAACAATAAAAAGCGATAAGGGGCTGTGTAAAACAAGTGTATAACATTTGACAATAATTTCAGATTATAATTCTTGTTTATTTTTTACGGGGGTATTTCAACTACGAGGTTATACGAAAAACAAAAGCTCATATATAAGTATGTTCGGTTCGAATGCAAGGCCACTGGATTCGAACCCGGGACCTTTACCGTCTTGCATCGGTTGTTTTGTGGCCGAACCGGCCAGTTTTACCTACCGAAAAAAAATCGCTACGGACTTTGTGACACATTTATATTATGAAAAATATAAAATCAGAATTTTATTTTTTTAACTCACCGTTTTCCGTGATTGCTGTTTTATCAGCGGCCCGTATGGAATTAAGCCAGTTCATTTTTTCAAAGTTCCAGTTCAAATTTTCCCAAATAGTCCTGTAAAGAGAAATTGCACACTGCGGACTTGCCAGTAGCTATAACAACGAATAAACACTCCGACAGCCTTATCGATTCTTATCAGTTATCAGTGACGACGCGGGAATCGATTGTCGTTCGCCATCTTCCTTTCTTGTTACTCAGATCAGTTTGTTTGATTTTTTATTGACGGTTCACTCGTGGAAGTTTGTTTTTCCGTAGAAATGGGAAAACTGCCTGAAGGGTAAGTCGGATAATTTATTCGAATAAGCGTTTTAACGTGTTATTTTCATCTGTGGTAGGTCGATTTTTCAACCTGTGTTCAATTGTGACCTGTAAAGTTGTTTTGAAGTTTCTAGCTGTTGATAGAACGAAATCTCGCCCATTTCTGCCTTTTTGTATCCAACCAACGAAAAAAAAAATTATTTATAAGTCCGAGTTGGAAAAACTTTTCTACTTATTATAAATCATCATCTAATGTGTAAATCATGTATTGTTTAGAAAAGTTGCTAATAATTCCCGGCTGAACAGGTTCATTCTTCACTACTCTGCAAGTTAATTGAATTAAATGATGAGACGATTGCCGAGTTACTTTTATATACATATTTTTTTACAATGTATACTGACTATATTGTGTTATGAGCCACAATACATTTTTCTCATTTGACACTGTTGTATCATGACGGGAGCCTTCAATAATTGTTTCACTTTAGTCGCCTGACTGGTTCTGTAGGACATGGATTGGGATGTGAAGATGGTGTTTTGTGAAATGTGAAAAAAATTGTTTGGAATTAGATTAGTAACGGAGGGTATTTTGAGCTAATTATGAAGGGCATAACTGAAACTGATATTTTTTGACAGCTGAGAAGAAACAACAAAAACAAGTCCAATCTTAATGATAATTTCAATTAATTATCCTTTTTATGTAAGGTCTTGGTTTAGATGAAAAAGTTAGTGTTGCGAGGGGGATTCAAACACACTAGCCGAGGTCATGGTTTGAATCGCGCTCGTGACACTAACTTTTTCATCTCAACCAAGTCCTTTGATAAAAATAAATTAATTGAAATAATTAATATAGTAAATTATGATCACTAAACATATACGGGTAAATGATAACATAATTAATTATCAAATATTATTCAACAACTTCCAATTTAAATGAGAGAATACACAAAATATTTGCTAATATCAGCAAAACTTAATACGCCCCTCTTATCACAGATGCTATTCATTATTATCAAATTATCATTAAACAAAACAATCAAATGCAAAACATATTTTGTGACAAATGGGTATTCTGAAAATAAAACTGTCTATTAAATCTAATAATATGTTGTTTGTGTATTCATAGTACTAGTGCCAAAATTACACAGTTTTAGATAAAGAATGGTGATCTTTCAAAACCACTTTGTTTGGCAGTCTAGTATTATATTGGGTTGGTGCAAAATTAATACAGGTTTTGAAAGTTTGTTTTATTTCTCAGGTGCTTGTCATGGATTAAAATAAATACTTTAATGGTTATTTTTTACAAAACATATTAGTTTCTACTGAATTTTATAAGAATGAGGACCTGTGAAATTAAATATGTCCAAACTAGATTTTTGTCCAATTTATTTGTACGAATTTAAACTTCATCGAAGTGTGGCCAAATCGTGCGTAACAACAATACATGTTTGGGGGGGGGGAAGCATTAGCAAATGCACTATGCATTTATGGTTCCAGAGATTTTGATCTCGAAGACAAGAAATGTTGTGGTAGGCCTTCCATTGGACGACAACCAACTGAAAACATTGATTTAAGAAAATTCACCTAAGACAACGTGACAAGGGAAATTGCGGAAGAGCTTAGTGTTGACCACAACTATTGCTCCTCATCTGGAGGAAATTGGTAAAGAAGCTCGACAAGTGTGTACTGCACAAACACACCGAAGAAATCGACACTTTGAAATTTGCACGTTTCTTCTGTTGCACCATCAATATGATATATTTCTCAATCGAATCATCACGTGCAATGAGAAATGGATTTTGTACGATAACAGAAGGCGTAAAGGTCAGTGGTTGGACAAGGATGAAGCACCAAAACACTTCCCGAAACCAAATGTGCACACAAAAAAGGTTATGGTGACAGTTTGGTGGTGTTGTTTACTATAATTTCTTGTTTGTTTGTAATTTCTTGTTGTTGTTTACTATAATTTCTATAATTTCGATCTTTATTGAGCCCTGAAGATGATCTCAATAAAGATCGAAACGTTGGCACGATAAAGAAAATGTTTTTCTGAAACCTACATCACACCAGACCGCATCTTTTTCTGCCAACGATTTTAGGCACCAGGGCTACCTACTAAAGCTAATATAACATAGCTTATAACATACCAAAAGAAAACATTTATTTACCATGTATGAACTATTTTAGTTTATTTATATTGCTAATATTATTTAATTTTTATTTCAGATGGGAGAATTATTCTGCAATGGGCAGTCGAATTCCTGGGACAAGGATTATTGCATTCAAAGTCCCATTGAAAGAGGTATGTCATTTTTTCACACAACAAATGTTTGTATTTTTAAATCCCACCTATGAAAAAGTAAATTATCTGCCAAATTTATGTTGTACATTTAAAAAAAGCCTAGACTTGTAACTTATAATACAAACCACTGATATAATAACAACTAATAATAATAACTAGTATTATAATAAGTATAATACTTTTGAGACTATAAAATGGGTATATAACAAATAATCGACGTCAGGATTACAAAAAAGAGAAATAACACATTTTATTATTCCCCTGGCAACACCGGGTTATAAAGCTAGAACTTAATAAATTATAATAAGTAATTATTTTTTAGGAAACAAGTTTTTTTTAAAGATGGTTAACAATTCATAATGAAAGACTAAATGAATAATAAGATGTACAACAAGTAATTTACAGAACCGTGCAATTAGAGTTATTTTAAAGTTTAAAGATTAATTACATTTTTAACCAATGAGTAATCGTAAAGCTTTCAAGAAGAGAAAATTTATTGTTTGAACTTTTAAAAATTTACTCACAACATCCAATTAGCCTTTTTTAATGTGGTCTTTTCAAACAACATAAAAAAATTAACAAAATGACAATGTTGGCAGTTATCTGGTCAAGAAAATCAATATGATAATGACTTGTCTGTTCTCAATGCTCCTCAAAGGCAAGAAAAAATTATATACGGACACTTAAGGCCTCATAAAAAGAGACCCTTCGGATGCAAAATTTGGACCTGTGCTTGATGGGATAGATTTGATTTATGAACACCAGCATGCCCCATATGGCTGCAGAGTCTGTCGTAAATGTCATACGGAGTTTTATTATGTGTAAACAATAGGGTGACCCTCCTGCGGTAAGGGGTTGTTGAAATAAATCCATAGGGATTGTATCGAGGGTAATAAAAGGATCCTTTACATGGTTTGGGCTGTAAATGCACGGATCTCAATCAACGAACATCTTTGGTGGTATGTAATGAGATGGGGCCACATGGCTGTTTGTTTTCCTGAAGGATATGAACAAATTTATCTCTAGCCTATCCAATTTTTGGTCGCCATTTGAATATTTATTGTTTTACCTGAACAATTAATTATTAAGTTTTTCAAGTTATTAATGGATGAAATAAGAAAATAAATATGTATATAAATGAAATATCATTAAATGTTATAAAATAATTGTATTTTAGTTTGAGAATCTGGTTTTAAGAAAATTAAAAAAAAATAGTTTTCCCGGTTTGTAAAAATATGTATTGCAGCATCAACTCTTGTTTACATACCCATTTTTTAAAATTCCCTTTGAATTTTAAGCCTAAAGCTTTTCACATGTTAGTTATTCTTTAATTAATGAATTTATGAACATATAATTATTATATTTCCTTAAATCATATAAGAATATAAAATACATAAATACACTCTATATAACGTTATTAATGTTTAAAGTGTTATACACGTCAAATGTATTGACTACTTTTTTACTTACGAATAATCTGCATGTAGGTATGGTCTGGAAGGAAAAAATAAATTTAGTTATTTTCAGTCAAATATTCAGGTGTTACAGTCCTTGGCAATGTTGGGACTGGTCTAACCTAACCATCCCTTAAAGAAAATTTGAACCATTTATTAACAACGTAATTAAGTCAATTTGTAGACATCTTTAAGATTGATTTGCCCTGATGATGGCTTTAAAATAGGTCGAAAGCTTACTAGAGAACAATTAGATTTAGCAAATATTGCTATATCGATTTAAAGAATCTTGAAATTGAAATCACCTTTCCATTATTTTTTGATTATTTTGTTTACTGAAATCCAATGTGCAGTGGCCCATGATCTTTTGTACACACAACACAAATACATATCTTCTTTAAAGAGAATTAATTATGTGGAAAGCTGTAAAAAAATTCTCATTTTTTTATATACATTATATTCTCTGTTTTATAATCCTATCTTTCTTTACTTAATTTAGTGGAAAAACAAATACGTTAAATAAAGAAGCACTACAAACACATATATGTAATAATTTATTTATTACTTAGTAAATTGGTTACTTGATGTTCTTCAGGGCTGTTAGTTACTCAGCGCTCTACTAGATTGTGCACAGTGCCTGTTTTATCCCATCAGATCTTATCTGCTAGTCTTAGCATTATGTATACAAAATAATTAAATCGTAATAAAAAATAATTAAATCATAATAAAATATATATATTTTTTAAAATTATATATACTCGAACAAAATGAAACAATTCTACCTAATTATACTTTTCATTTTTATGCTTACAATTGACTACCTTCGATTTGTTTAACTTTTCTCGGATACATGTGCGTTTTTGAATATACTTGAACAGTTATTGTCGCTATTTACTCTAGGTGTAAATACAACGAGGTAGGGCGGACCCATTAATGCAGGAAATTTTTCTTTAGGAATTACATATGACAGAGATCAGGCAGGCCTATGCTTTACAAAGTCAGTAACATTATCGTCTTATCGTGTAACTGGAAGTTAGTTGAGAACACAGTTTATTTATTTATTTTTTTTTTTTTTTTGGGGGGGGGGTTAGATCGTCGGGGTGTGTATTATACTGCGCTCTTTAAACTGCGTTTACATCTGACATTTTGTCCGGAAATATATATCTAGTTCAGACAGAAAATCTCTTTGACCCTGATAGAAATGACTAGAAATTTCTTTCATGGATATGTATTCGACAGTTCTCAAAATGCGTAACTTGGAATAAATATACAACCCGTTTACATATACGATAGATTTTTGTGTACACTTATGTCCCGTGTACTTGTCTATCTCTTTCGTTGTGCACACAGATTATTTTATCTTGGCATGATGAAAGCCTCAAAACGCAAAATTGTGGTCTGTTGCATTATTCTAAAGATGAACAGGAAGAAAAAACTTTCTGTATGGGTTCCAGAGTGGGTTTTGAGTCGTGAAAATGTCGGTGCCTACAATCAATATTAAGGATCCATTTCAGTTTTTGAATTTTTGAATAATGAAACCTGCTGATTTTTAAAAGCTTTCTTGTAAAATTGGCCCCCTTATTGCAAAGCAAGATAGTAAATTTTGAAAAGCTACTAGTGTAACAGAACGACTTGCTGTAACTTTGCGATTTTTAGCATCTGGTAAGCAGGTACCTTACTATGTACTATTAAATAAAAATTGAAATTTTAATTTTTTTTTTAAATTTTAGATTTAATCAACTCTTTTTGTCTCTCTTGTTTACCCGACACTTATCCCTTATTGCAATGGGAGACAGTAAACGAATGGACAACTTTTGCGACAAGTGCCAAACAAGGTTGAACTTGCAACAAACCAGTGTTTACATCTATTGATATAGAAGTGTCGACATAAATATCTTATGGTTGAAATATTGATCTGTATCATATCGCTGTTTACATTAGCCACGATTTCTGTCTGACATAAATATCGTGCAATAACTGTCAGATGTAAACGTAACTTCAGAGCTATTGCATTTCCCTTTTTGAGCTTAAAGCACACCGGTAAATCCTAGTTTCGGTAGATCCAGGAACTTGATTGGGTGGGGAACACATTGACCCAACGCGACTCAACGTCTAGTCGCATGTTGGTGGTGACACACTTCACTTGCAAGTACACGCCGCGCGACAGACGACACATTTGTATTCGCGAAATCGATAATTCTGAGGAAGACGTGGAAGTAATGACAGCAGCAGAGATCTGCTTGCTTTAAACGGCGACCAGAAAAGACCTGGGTTTAGAAGTGAAAACGAACTTGAGTTGAGCGAATATCATACTTTGATTTCTATTTTAGAAAAAGAACCAAATACTGATCTTTTCAGTATTTTGTATTTTCGGATGACAAAACAACAATTTGATTATCTGCATGAATCAATAAAGGAACGGATCAGGAAAGCTAATACCAATTTTTATATACCATTTACCAAATATAACATTTAACAGTAAAAAAATCAAACTATATATATTTTTATCGTTAATTAATTCCTACTTAGTAAAGTATTAATATCTACTTACGTTAATGTAAACCAAATTAAACAATATCAGAAATTCATTAATACAAAATACATGATTATGATGGTTTAAAAGAAAATTCACCAAAAGAAGGAAAATCATTTAGCGAATGAGTAAAATTTAACAATTTTTCATGTAGCTTTGATCTTAATACATTATTGTGAGCAAAACCAGGCAGTAAATTGTTAAATTCATTCTATTACTAAATGGCATTCTGGCGTTTTGATAAATTTTCTTGCAAACCTTTGTAATTAAATAATTTTTATTAAAACTTATTACTTTTTGACCTCGTTTAATTTTGTTACATTAAAATGATCATGTTGTAATTAATATAACGACAAAAATGCATATTGTTTGAAAAAAAGAAAAAAAAGATGAGCGTCCACTTCTTTTGTCTTTGAGTGTATTCGACTCTACTCGTCGAAAATCTAGACAGTTGGGAACTTGGTTGCATCGCGTAGCGTAGAGTGGCGTTGCGTCACGTCAGGCAAATGTGCACGGTGGTATTACAGTATTATGGAAAATTGGACATCGGATCGATCCCTGCTTTAACCCGTGCGGCGAATGAAACCTTTTGGGACGAAATAATGACATATCTCCCACGATGCCATGCCCATTTTTTGGGTTGGCCGGTGTATCCTTCACCGTATCATTACCATATTGATTTTAAGGAAAGATAGGGAGTTTACATTGTTGTGGAACATGTAATAAATCTTGCTAAGCCACCAGTTTAATACAAAGAATTTTATTTTTTACGGTAAAAAAATACAGCTAGTTGATAAAAATTGTACAATGCCATTTGTTAAATAATTCTCGAAGAAAGTCCATTTCGAATATTCGAATAGTAATTTTCATTTGGTCTAATGAAGATTTCTAATGACCTGTTGCACAATGGCCCCTCATATTATCTCCAGTCCCACTCGCACCAAAAATATCCAATGCCCCACCTATGTGTGATTGTTCTTTTGCTTACCAGTGTGAAATTAGCATTTTCTGAT